TATATATATGTATATATATGCCATTCTGATGATTTTTTCTTTTCTGGTGGTACTGGAGTTTGAACTTAGGGCCAAATGCTTGCTAAGGCAGGTGCCCTATTGCTTGAGCCACTCCACCAGCTTACAAGGTATCTTTCTGCCAGACACTGATGGCTCACGCCTATAATTCTAGCTACTCAGCAGGCAGAGATCAGGAGAATCATGTTTAAGAACAGCCCAGGCAAATAGCTTGAGAGACCCTATCTTGAAAATACCCAACACAAAAAGAGACTGGAGGACTGGTTCAAGTGATAAAGTGTCTGCCTAGTAAGGGTGAGGCTCTGAGTTCAAAGCATAGTACATCAAAAATAAATAAATAAAAATATATCATTCTAATTCAAGTGCCCTTAATTTCTGAAACATTAGCTTTTACTGATAATTATTTTTAGTTGTTTTTTGAGACAGGGTCTCACTGTGTAGCCCAAGAGATCTCCCTGCCTTTCCCTTCTGAGTGCTGGGATGATAGGCTTGCCACCATGCCTAGCTAGCTGATGATTTGTAAATGGTTTGTACAACATTAATATAGTATTAATGTTAGTTATAATTCTTTTGAATAAAATTGATAAGCTAACTTTTAAGTAGCATTTTTTTTAAATTTTCATACTTTAATGTTTCTATTACTAAAATCATATTTCTGGATTGTCTGATAATTGGTAGCAAGGGAATTTGTTTTATTTATTTATTTTTGTGGCAGCACTTGGGATTGAACACAGGGCCTGATGTATACTACACAAGCACTCTACCACTAAACTACATCCTCAGCTCCAGGAGTTTTCATTTATCTGTTCTTTGTTCCTAAACAACAGTGGTAGGAAATTTACCAGTTTAATAAAAAAAAAGAATCTTCCTTATAATACCACTTAGTAAATTTCAATCTAATTTTTTTTCTTTCAGATTGGTTTTCCTCCCTTGCTTAGTATTGTAAGCAGAATGAATCAGGTAAATCCATCAAATGATATTGGTATATGCATTCTTTTGTTTGCAATGTGTATGAAAGTATTCAAATGCATTTCCTGAATATTTACAGTATGCAGGTCCTATCCTAAGCTCTTCCATGGTACTTATTTAATCCTTACTATATCACTGTATGGGGCATTATTATTAATAACCATATTTTTTTGTGGAGGAGGAAACAAAATTTGAGGCTAAGGCATGAGGTTTTTCAGCAAGTAAATGACAGTACTGGTATACAGTGGTGGGTGGCTCCAACTCCAGAGCTCATGATGTTAATTTGTCTGGGTTTCACTTACACATCTTAGATGCTCAGTCTTGAATTAAATGTTAACGCCAGATCATCATTTCTAGTTCTAGATGAGCTACACGTTCCATTAAGATTGAAATACAGAGCTAAGGTTGTGGTTCAAGTGGTAGAGAGTCTGCCTCGCAAGGGTGAGACTCTCAGTTCAAACCCCAACCAAAAGGGGAGAAACACGGGATTTGGTTCTTCAGGCTTTTAGGAGTAGGGACTCTGTTAACAACTTAAAAGGAAAATAAAAACTGACTCACTTTTACTTAGTATTAAGTACTCTTAGAAGATGAGAAAGTATTTTTGAGGGTCATACTCTATTGGAAATCACATATTGGATGACAATTTCATTTACTTAAATCATTTGCATTAAGAAACTATTGCATTTATACAAATTCCAATCAGCATCATTTTTTGGAAGTACTCAATTATAGTTGAGTAAGTCAAAATATTTTCAGGTGTTTGGTAATTTCACCTGTATAGTTTTGTTTTGGGGGATTTTTTTTTTTTTTGGCAGTAACGGGGTTTGAACTCAGGGCCTCATGCTTGCTAGACTAGCATTCTACCATTTGAGCCAGGCCTCTAATCCCTGATCTGTATAGTTTTAAAACATCTATCTCTAGCTAAGTTTCTCTTTAGATTAGGCTTTGATTTAATTTGAATTGGGAAATAATATATTTGCAAAGACTCATTTTTAAGGATATGTAAAGTTTTTCAATAGTTGCAAACTAAATCCTAGGATTTAAACCAAAGCCTTAATTGATACTTGAGAGTATAAGATCTGTCTTAAAAGCCTCTTCTCACAAGATGAGCCATCTAGTGAAATTACTAATTAGAGTCCTAGCTTTCTCTTTTCAGACTGAAGAGTGAGGCCGTCTTAAACATCAGAGTTGCTTATCTAGCTAAACTTACTGGAACCCATGCTGAACTTTATCAGTGCTTTGTTATTAATACAACTCTTCTAACCCCAACCCCTTTTTTTTAGGCAACAGTAACTAGTGTCTTGGAATATCTGAGTAATTGGTTTGGAGAAAGAGACTTTACTCCAGAATTGGTAGTATTGCATCTTTTTATGTTCATAATTTAGGCAAAACATATATACGTATATATGAGATATGACCATATACTATTTATACCTGTGTATGTATGTAGTTATAAATGTATATTTATAATCTGAACTGTGCTTGTTTATAGTGAAATAAGAAATTTACACCAGAATGTAAATCTACTTCCTTCACTGAGATAGTCTTAGGAGCTAGGAGTGTAGTTCAGTGGCAGAGCACTTGCCTAGCATGCAGGAAGCCCTGGGTTTAATCCCCAGCACCACCAGGGAAAAAAAGAAAAAGTCTTGCTTTTGGGGAAAAAAATGCCAACTAAAGAGTCAATTGATAGCCTATACAAGCTGTTTATCTCATTGCAGACAATAATAACTAGGTCACAGACTGTTAGTCCATTTACAGACTGTACTTTAAGTAGAACTGACTTGGAAGTGCATTTTCTAAAATGACTTTGAGGCTATTAAGGTGGCTCACATTTGTAATTCCAGCTACTCAGGAGGTGGAGATAGGGAGGATCATATTTAAGGCCAAACTGGGCAAAAAAATCTCAACAGATATTTGGCATTACTGAGATTGGAACTCAGGGTCTCACACTGGCTAGTCAGGTGCTCTACCACTTGAGCCTCATTTCGTGCCCTTGTTGCATTGGTTATTTTTGAGATAAGGTCTTACTTTATGGCTGGGCTTGCCTGGACTGCAGTTCTATTTACACTTCCTTCATAGCTGGGATGATAGGTGCATGCCATCACACCAGCTTTTATTGGTTGAGATGGGGTCTCCATAATTGTTTGCCTGAGCTGGCCTTGAACCATGACCCTCCTAATCTCACCTGCCAAGTTGCTAGGATTACAGGCTTGAGCCACCCCCACTTGGCCCCCAAATGGTTTTTTTTAAATATGTCCTTGCTGGAACACCTGTGGCTCACATGTGTAATCCTAGCTACTTGGAAAGCTAAGATCAGAGGGATCGCAGTTCAAGGCCAGTCCAGCTCAGGCAAATAGTTTTAAAGACTCCATCTCCAAACTAACCAGAGCAAAATAGATGGGAGGTGTGGCTCAAGTGGTAGATCACCTGTGTTGCAAGGTCCCACAAAAATAAAGAGAGAGGGAGGAAGGAGAGACGGAGGGAGGTTTAGGTTAGGGCATGGCCCAAGTGGTGGAGTGCTTAGCAAGCTCCAACTCTGAGTTCAATTCCCAGTACTGCCAAAAAAAAGAAAGAAATTACTAAAACAAAAAACCAGGTGTGGTGGTCCATACTTGTACTCCCAGCATTGAGAGAGAAGCTAAAGCAAGAGGATCATGAGTATGCCTAAACTACTTAGCAAGACGCTGTCTCATTTAAAAAGGAAAAAGAAAAACAGAAAGAAATGTTTGCAGTTTTTTGTTGCTTTTTTCTCTTTTCCTATTATTATCACATTTTGCTCTCTGACTAAAGAAAAGAAATCTTTTAGTGTAAATACATTTTAGAAAATCCTTAGAGGTTGTGAGAAACGTGAAAGTGTAGAAGAAGGACATTTGAATTCTTGAATATTAGCTTTGCATAGTAAATATATTCCTGCAATTTTAAATCGTTTTGATGTAGAATTTTTACTTTTTGAGACAGGTCTCATTATATAGCTCAGGTTCCTGAATTCACAATCCTCCTACTTTAGCCTCCTGAGTGCTGGAATTACAGGATTGAAACACCATGCCTGGCTTAATGTAGAAGAGAATTCCATTATTTGTAAAAGAAACCTGAATATGAATCTTTTTATTTAAGAAAAAGTCTTACTGATTTAGGGTTACCTGAGGAACTTAGCATGTTGCATAAATTGCTATTTAAACTTTGTTCTGGTATTCTTTAGATTTCCACAAAGTGATACTTTTTTTTGTTTGGCAGTATGGGATTCTAACTCAGGGCCTCAAACTTGCTGGGCAGGTGCTCTAACTTGAACCACTCTGCCAGCCCAATTTGGTGATTTTCTCTCAGAAACTTTAAGGACTATATAAAACCTTTGTCACCATCATTTTACTTTTTTTTTTTTTGCAGCCCTGGGGTTTGAACTCAGGGCCTCACACTTGCTAGGCAGGCGCTCTTACAGCTTGAGCCAGCCCACCAGCCCCACCATCATTTTACTTGTAATACATATAAACATTTCATTACATGTTACCAATAATTATAACCACAAAATGATATTATAATAGTGAAACTATTGAAAAAAGTTGTACATTTATATAGGAAAAAGACAAACATTTAAAAAAAGAAATTTTATCTGGACATTGAGATTGTAGTTTGTTTTTTCCTTTGTGCTTTTGGTATTCATATTTGTTCTGCATTAAGTGTTACAAATTTTGTAATTGTAAAGAATATCCCATTTTAAGAGGGAGTGTAGACAAATTCAACTCCTGCTTATTAAAGTATCAGAACATTGTTTTTCTACAATATAGTTTCTTCCTGTGGGCCCAGAGACAAATTAAAGAGTTGTGAAATGTTTTGTGTATCTGTCTGTAAAGGGCAGAGAAAAAAATGTATCTTAATATTTGCAAGGATTTGCATGCATCTTAAGTAAGTTTTTGCTTATAAGTGAGAACTTAAACTGTAGTAATAATCTCACAAATGGACTGTTCGGAGTCTTTGAAGTATCCAAGGTCCTGTGTCCATGGTTACAAGGTAAAAGGGAGATCACCGGGTTTCCAGGTCATCCTTTGTTACCCATGTCTGAACAACATAATTAGTGTTGATAGCAAACAACCAGGCACAGCATTGGGCATTTAGAGAAACAAGTTAGGTTATGCTTCAGTTTTTGTCTACTTAGGACTTTTTAAAATTTTATTTAGGGAAGGTGGCTTTATGCTTTGTTGGCTTGCCTTGAAAAACCATTATTACCTGAGGCTCATTCACTAATTCGGCAGCTTGCAAGACGGTGCTCTGAAGTGAGACTCTTAGTGGTAAGTTGAAAGTATCTACCTACTTATATGCTGATAAAGAAGGATTCCAGTGAAGTAGGAAAATGTGGAATATGTTATTAGTTAGGATTAGAGCATGCCACAAAACAGAAAAGCTTTAAATAAAGGCTTAAATAAAGTGAAATGTTTTTCTCAGATAAAGGAAATCTGAAGAGAGACAGTTAAGATCTAAAATGACAGTATCCCAGCCCTTCAAATTCTGCTACTTGTGGCTTCCATTCTTGTCTTAGTCCATTTTGTGTAGCTCTAACAAAATACTTGAAGGTGGGCACTTGAAGAGGTCTAATTCTAGCTGCTTGGGAGACTGAGATCAGGAGGATCACAGTTCGAGGCCAGCCTGGGGAAATAATTCATAAGACCCCCCCATCTCTAAAATAACCAGATTAAAATGGACCAGAGGTGTGGCTCAAGCAGTAGAGTACCTGCTTTGCAAGTAGGAAGCCCTGAGTTCAAACTCCAGTCCCACCAAAAAAAAAAAAAGGTTTTACTATTTTTTTTTTTCTTACTGGTGATTGAATCCAGCACCTCTTACATGCTAGGCAAGCACTCTACTACAGAGCTACTTTCTCAACCTGAAAAGTGTTTTATTTAGTTCAGTTTTGGAGGCTGAAAGTCTAAGATCAGGGGGCCCCATTTATTCAGACTTCTGGCTACATCATAGCTTAGCAGATGGCACAGATAGAGTGTGAAAGAGCAGCAAATGGCCCTTGTGAAAGGGGGAAGGCGCCAGGCTCATTTATAACAACCGTGTGCGGCAGTACTAATAAAGTCCTATGAGAGCATTAATCCTCCAACAAGAACCATTCCTTAAAAGACATCTCAGGTGTTCTCAAGGAGTCATTGACTGCAGTTTTCTCTTTTGTCTTGGAGAATTCCTGCTTCCATATGATGTTCACTCTCATCTAATAAAAATTTCATGTTTTGCATGGAAATAAAAAGAAATGTATCTCAAAAACAAGCTTTTTTTCATTCCTTTTTTTAGGACAGCAAAGATGACGAAAGGGTTCCTGCTTTGAATCTATTAATCTGCTTGGTTAGCAGGTATAGTAAAACCAGTCTTTGACTTCTTGTTCATTTGTTTATAGTGAGAGTACATTTAATTTTGTTACAGTTGTATTTTGTAAATTATCTGGATCCTTTGTTCATTTTCAGTTGAGACACATTTTTATTTATATGTTTGATTTAATATTTTATATCTAAGTTACACTTGGAATTTATTTGGAAAATTCTTCCTATTCTCAATTCTACATAAAAAAATACTTATTTAGGTCTCTTCATGGACATGTTTTTGTTCCAGTGATCAGAATCTTTATTCTAATGCTTATACCTTCTTAAAGCTTCATCATGTATTTAATTAAGTAATCTTGTGTCCAGTCTTCTTTCCCCCAAACAAGACACACTTTTTCAGAACATACATATATTTTAAACATTTAATTTAATTATGCAGCTCATGATAATTAACATTTAGTGGGCACTTTGTGTCAAACATTTTTTTTAGGGTGTCATACTAGAAATTCATTTAATCCTTATAAATAGTAGGTACATTTTTACAGATGAGGAAACCATGCCAGACAGAGGTTAAATAACATTCCTGCCATCACAGAGATAGTAAATCTAGAACTAGGATCCAAACCCACATAGCTTTACTCCAGAGCTATCCTCTTTTTTTTTTTTTTCCTTGATGGTACTAGGGATTGAACTCAGGACCTCACACTTGCTAGGCAAGTGTTCTTCAACTTGGGCCAAGCCTCCTTTCCCAGAGCTAAGCTCTTAATTGCTGATTACAAACCAAGCTAATAGCTACCTCATCTGTTAGTAGTAAGGATTAGATGAAAGGACTTATGCCCTAGATTCTTTATAGACCATATTTTTATTTCTTTGTGAGACTGGGGTTTGAATTCACAGCCTTGCATTTGCAAAGCAGGTGCTCTACCACTTGAGCCACTCTGAGAGCCCATTTTGCTCTGATTATTTTGTAGATGGAGTCTTGAAAACTATTTGCCTGGGCTAGCCTCAAACTGTGATCCTCCCGATCTCAGCCTCCCAAGTAGCTAAAATTACAGGCATGAGCCACCATCACCTGGAGTGGGCAGTATTTTTTTTGTTTTTAAGATGAAAACACAGGTTCAGAAAGATTAAGTAATGTATAGTTCAGTAAACCAGTAATTAATGAAACCAGAGACTTAAAGCTTCTTACTACTAATTGAGATTTTATAAGATTGTGCAATTACAAAAACATAAACAAATGTATTGGTCATGGTTCCTCAAAAAGTTAGATAAAAATGGAAAAAGAATTCTAGACTACAAAATATTTTTAAGGTATATATAGCCTCTGCTTAAGAAGACTTACAGATTTGGGGGCTGGAGGAGTGGCACAAATGGTAGAGTGCCTGCCTAGCAAGGGTGAGGCCCTGAGTTCAAACCCCAGTACTGCCATAAATAAGTAAATAAATGAATGAATGAATGAATGAATAAAGGCTTACAGATTCAGGAGTGAGAGACAGGAGGGTTGAAGTTTGGAGGCCAACCTAGGCTACATGTTGAGACCCTGTCTTAAAAAATGAAAAGGAGAAACTTAAAAAAGATTATAGAAAATTTGAGAACATGATAGCATAGGCCTTGACTTCATTAACTTCAATGTAGATACTGTTTTTAAGTCTCTTATTTTCTGTTTATTTTGCTTATTTTAGTAGCTTTAAGTGAATAATTAGTAATTCATAAAATCCACTGTAATGCATAAAATCTCATTTGACTAGGGTCAAGTTGACTATTTTTTTTTCTTTTAAATCTTTACTTTATTTAGAGCTACATGTTTTTTAACTTAGTTGTTTTACCAATAATACTTACCTTTTTTTCAAAGCTGCTTCTTATGGAGGTTTTCAAACATACACAAATGTAGTAGAATAAGCTCCCATCCTCTCCATCACACAGTTTCAACACTTAATAATTCTTCATCAAGATATTTCATTTCTCCCATATTTTTTATTAGTATGTTTTAAACAAATCCCAGAAATTTCTCCAATTTTTTTGTCTTTATTTAACTGATAAGGACTTTTCAAAACCATGATTGTCGCCAGGCACTGGTGGCTCATGTCTGTAATCCTAGCTGCTTGGGAGGCAGAGATCAGGAACATCAAAGTTCGAAGCCAGCCTTGGCAAATACCCAGCATAGAAAAGGTCCGGTGGAGTGGCTTAAAAATGGTAGAGGGCCTGCCTAGCAAGCATGAGGCTATGAGTTCAAACCCCAATACCACAAAAAAAAAAAAAAAAATGTAATACTGGTAGCAAATAACTAATAAATTTAATAATTCCACAGTATCATCTGCTGTCCAGTCCATGTTTTATATCCTCTAGTTATCCTCAAAAATCTTTGTACATTTAAATTTTCAAACCAGGATACAAGTAAGATCCACTCATTGTATTTGTTTGATAATGTCTTTTAAGTCTTTCTAACAACCCCCTGGGGTTTTTTTTCACACTTATTGAAGAAAATGGGTCATTTGGCTTATAAAAATTCTCCTGTTCTGGACCAAATAGATGTTCACAGTGGTATTTAATGTGTATATCTGACCCCCTTATTTCCTGTAAACTGGTAGGTAGGTCCAGAGGCCTTGGAGTACTTACTTGTTTGACAAGACTCCGTGGGTCCTGCCGTATTACATGGTAACATAGTTCATCACTGGGCTCAGCTAAAGTGATCCTTTTTTTTTTTTTGGCAGTACTGGAGTTTGAACTCAGGGCATCATCCTTGCTAGGCAGGCACTCTACCACTTGAGCCACTCTGCCAGCCCCTAAAGTGATCCTTTTTGAGCTGGAGGCATGGCTCAAGTGGTAGAGTACCTGCCTGTTTAGCACAAGGCTCTGAGTTCAAGCCCCAGTACCACAAAAAAAGTGTATCTTTTTACCTGTTAGTTTTAGCATGCATTGATGATTTTTGCTTAAAACAATTACTTCATTTGAGATTCAGAAATGTTGAGTATTCTGTCATCCCCTATTCATGTGTTAGGTAGAATTTTTTTCTATAAAAAATAACCTGCGTTCAACAGTTTTGTTACCCTTTTTTTAAATTGTATTATTGTTATACTGGGAGTACATTGTGACATTTACAAAAGTTCTTACAATATGTCATAGTTGAATTTTCCCCTCTATCCTCCCCAGTTGGTTATCCTGAACTGTAGTTTATACAAAACAGTTAACAACAACAAAACAGAGAGTTGGTTGTGGTGGTACATGTCTATAATCCCAGCACTTGGGAGGCAAAGGCAGGAGGATTTTGAGTTCAAAGTCAGCCTGCAGCATTTCAAAAAACAGGATGCAGGTTAGAGTCTTTCCCTTATTTACTAAATTTTATAATAGGGAGCCTAGAAATTTCCAGAGATGATAAATAATTTTATTTGTACTTTTGGATTTTGATTTTAGGACTTTTAACATTTGATGAATTTCAATTCATTGG